TACCCACCTGCCCCATCAGCAGGGCCAGGGTGTCTGTCAGTATCTCTCAGGGGAAGTTGTAAGATCCTTTTCTCTTTCAGAATTGAATTAGCTCTTGACATGGATCACATTTCCTATTGCCTTTCTTTTCTGATGAGAGGGTCCTTATTGCCTCTTCTGCCCTCTTTTCTTGGCAACAGAGGAGTGATGTGAGATTTAATTTCTTAAGAAAACTAAAAAAGACACAAAGATCCCGTCTCCATCTCACGTGAGCCAAGACCTTCTTTGGGTGTGGAGGGTCAGTGCAGACAAAGGCGCTGTGATCACTTGCCCATAGTTTCTCTAATTATAGAAAGTATTTAGCTATTGTTCTCTAATTGCTTGCTGCAGTTGGTTTTGGGCATTGTTTTTTGTGGTGGTTTTTTTTTTGTGTGTGTGTGTGTGTTTTTTTTTTTTTTTGACAAAAGCCTGGTTTCTGATGAGTTGTTCTTTTCTTTTCTTCTGCTTTGGTTCATTGCCATACAAACCCCTGGCTATTCCATTGGAGAACTGAAGGAGGTGGTGTGGTATTTCTGCAGAAGTCACTTTACCTCTAACTGTTCTCACGGCTCCCTATCCCCTCCTCCCAGTTGCCTAATAGAGAAAGGGAATTAACATTTACTGATCATCTGTTTAGTATATGTCAGGCACCGTACTAAGCCCTCACATAGGCTGTCTTATTCAATTCTTGCAGCAAGCCTGAGAGGCAGATATTATTATCCCCAATTTACAGATGAGGAATCTAAGGCACAGGGAGGTCTCACTGAGCCAACAAGTAGCTGACCCAGGATTTAAACCCAGTGAAGTTGAGCCAGGATTCAAACCCAGGTCTGTCTGACTACCTGTTGCCTCTCTTAAAAGAGCTTGAGAGTTTTTGTAGATTTTGGTGTAGATAATAGAACATTGATGTTGATGCTCCCACCACTGTGGGAGATTTGGGGAATCCTGCTCCCTCGCCCTGAAAGTGCCTATTTTCAGGTCTCCTGCTGGAGGCCTGGGACTCCAGTGTTGGTTCATGACACGCAGAGAGATTTCCAATGTCCTGATAGCAATAGCAAGGAAAGCCACCCCACCACCAGGAGGCTGGGGCAGTCAGGATCCTACAGGAAACAGATGGCACATTCGAGGGTTTAAATGCAGAGTGATGAATGAATGAATGGACTGTGTGCAAGAGGTATGGCCATTAAGGGAACCAACAAGTGGTGGGAAAGCAACTGGGCACTAACATTGCAGGAAGCCATCACCACCCCTAGGTCTAAGGGGGCACTGTGAGGGAATGGTGTTCCTGAGCCCAGCAAGAACTGGGGTTAGGGCAAATGTACCCCAATAGGAGCTATGGCAGAAGAGGAACCCAGCCACTGCTGCAATGCAGACAGGAAGGGCTGGAGGTCACACAGGAAGTTCTATGTGTATGTGTATGTTTGTGTGTGTGTGTGAACAAACATCTAGACTTCTCTCTCCTTCAGCTTCCCTGTCTCCTGCTCATGCTTACCACTGGCAAAACCCAAATAGAAGACAGAGGGCAGGGGAGCCCTGGGGAAGCAGCCAGTTCTGGTCGGCATCCTGGGGCACAGGGCAAGGCAGAGAAGGGTGGAGAGAGTACTTGGGGAGGATACTCAGCATAGGGGCTAACTCATGTGTGCCCTCCACGTCAGTCCATAGGAGGTAGAACATTGCTTACAGACTCAAAGAATCTTGGAATGATTTGAGTTCTGCCCATGAAATCTCTATATTTTGCAAATCAGGATCCTGAGGCCCAGAGAAGGAAAATGACTGGCAGGTCCAAGGTCCAAGGCTGGCAGCCAATTAGTAGCACAGGCAAACTGGAATCCAGCTCACCTAACTCCCAGTCCATCCTTGCCTCTTAATTTGAGAGCTGTGGTCAATTAATAGTTGGTAATAAAGGATTATTGCTGAGCCAGGTTGCCTGTTTCCTGTAAAACTGCTCAGAACCTCAGAGCATAGTTTACTTCGGCCCCAGATATTTGCCTTAAATGATTCCCTCTCTAAACACATCTATGATCAGAGTGGGGTGCCCATTCCAGATTGTGGAATCTGGAGTCAGAATCATGGGGTGCAATCCCAACCTGCCCACACAGAGTGATCTTGGACAAGTTACTTAACTCGCTGTGCCTTAGTATGCTCAACTATAAAATGGGAATAAAAAAGATATCTATCTTATACCTCATATGAATTTTATGAGAAAATATACTTAAAGCACTTAAACTAGCATCTGGCAATAAGTGCTTGATAAATGATAGCATATATATCTATATTTAAATAAATATATAAATGATAAATGATAG